CGCTCTGCGGCCGCAGAGGGAAGCGGGGATGCCCCGGGGTCCCCTGTCCCGCGCGGGCCGGGAGGCGGAGCCTAGCGGAGGGTGCGGCCGCCGGCAGCGGCTTGGGTGGCTCTCGGTTCCCGGGATGCGGCGCTCCCTGCCTGTGGGAGCCGCTGGCCCGACAGGGACCTCTGTCCCTGGAAAAGCAAAGAGCTTAGCTGACGCCAAATGAAACTTCTCCAACCCGACTTGGAAGAGGTCGGCTTTCTCTCCTGGAGGTGCGTGGGCTGCGGGAACTCGGTTTCCAGCTGTTCCCCGGACGTAGATTTGGGCGACAATTGACCTCGGCTGCAAAAGATCGGGATGTGTTTGCTCATTTTATAAAAAGGCAAGAAAACACTATAAAAGCTGAGGCTAGCTCCAGATCATCATCCAGGACCCCAGATTACACTTATTTCGTGGCCACTGCACCCGAATTATTGGGAAAGAAGCCTTCAGAGCCCTAATTCTTACTAATTTCTTTTTTTATTATTTAAATCATCTTGGACATGAAACAGAAGGCAATAAATAAACCTGTACTGTTTAGCTTCCAAATCTCTCGCCAAGGTTATGCCCATCTCAGTAAGAATTAAATTCTTGGTGTATGCCCAGAATGAAGAACTTCAAATCGGGAGAATTTAGCTGCCTACTCTCCCAGCAGTGTGAACGCTGAGGTAGGAGAATCCTCAAATTCCTGGCTAATCTGGGCTGCATAGCCAGAGCCTGTCCAGAGAATTTTCCCTTGATGAATGCTTTGTTCATTTTGCCATCGGAAAAAAAAAAAAAAAAAAACAAAACCCTTACTGCACTTTTCTGCTGTTCTGAATGCCATGTGCTGCTCTGGTTCGTTTCCTCTAAACAACTTACCCATTCTCCACTCAGTCCCTGCGGTCCAGGCAGAACGCTGCTAAGGAGGAAACCTTGTTTTAGTTCTCTTTCAGCCTAACAGTGGATTTGAATCTGGAAGAGTAAAGTCTTTTCTTCATTGACTAATGAAAAGGGAAGGAAAAAACAAACAGAAAAGGCAGATTCAAAGATGGAGATGTAGCCTAGATGCTTGATGCCCGTCCGTGGGGGCTAGAGTCCTCTGGAAACTGCAAGGAAGTAATCAATAAATTCCTGAATGTGTGTGTTTTATTGCTGGAACCAATGAGAGCTTTTCTGCCACATCCAAGTTACTGTCTTGACCACTCGTGGTAGTGAAAGGAAATAAGGTCTGAGTGCCGATGAAGTAGGCTGCAGCCAGACCAGAGTAAGAGGGCTTTTCCTAGGCTGAATGTTTCCGTTTTGGTCTAGAGACAGTCCCATTTTATATTCAGTATTGTCTAGTACATATATCTTCACATGACCTTTGCCCTTGAAATGATTTCATTGTCTTCCTAGTCACCTCTGGCTCCTCCCTCTCACATTTTGGGTTTAATTATTTACCAAGACCTGTTGATAATCCCTTGATTTTCTCCTCAGTCCTCTGCCACTGTTGTGAATATTTCCACGGTTCACTTTACAGCTTTCCTTCCATATTCTCTCCAAGGGAGGGAGAAAAGCTTTTTCTCCCCAACTTGAACATTCTGTGTTTCCGTCAAACAAAAATTTTGCCTCATAGTTTTCATAAATACTAAATCAAGGCTCCCAATTTTAACCACATTGTTAGTTATGTGTTCTGTAAACGCCCCTGTGCCTTTTAACTGTTTCTAATTTTTTTCTACTGACTTCTGTATAAAGCTCTTCTTCATCTGTAAAATGAGGATAATAGTCTCAGCACACAGGACAATTGAGGCAGCTGTGCATTAACACTACCTGCTAGTAAGTTCCATGTCAAGTATTGGCCACTTTAAATGTTTTTGAAATTGAAATTTAATTGCACCATCTCCCCCCTTCCCTTTCCTCCCTCCAATCCTTCCCATGTACCCCATCTTGCTCTCTCTCAAACTCATGGCCTCTATTTCTCTAATTGTGTGTGTGTGTGTGTGTGTGTGTGTGTGTGTGTGTGTGTGTATGTATTCCTAAATATATAAATACAGCCTGCTTAGTTTGTATGATGCTACCTGTACGGCTATGATTTCAGGGCTGGGCACTTGATATTGAATAACCAGTTTAGGGGCTCTTCTCTGGGAAGAACTGTGTTTCCCTGATTTCAGCATTCCTTAGCGGCCTACAGTTCTTTGTCAAGGGTTGAGGCCCCATGAGAGTTACCCCTTCCACGTTAGCATATCTATTGATATCCTCCTTGCTCAGGTCTTGTTTCGGCAGCCACACTGATGAGACTTCATAGGTATAGCTTCTCTGACATTTCTAGGAAATCCAGCCTCATGGAAAACCTCCTGTTCCTCTGTCTCTTATAATCTTTCTGCCTCCTCTTCCACTGTGGCCCCCGAGCCCTAGGTACAGGTCTGTGTTGTAGATGGGTCAGTTGGGGTTAAGTACCATACAGTTACTCGTTCTTGCATTTTGATCTGTTGTGGTTTTCTATAATAGTCTCTATTTGTTGCAAAAAAAATTGATAAAGGGTGAAACCTATACTTATCTGTGGGTATAATGGTGAATATTTAGGTTGTAGTTTGGACTCTTGCTAGATTGGTAATGTGGACATTGTAGGTTCTCCTCCAACTTTCACGATGTCACTAGCACCAAGTCTCTGGCTAGGTTTCCAATATCAGGCTTTATTTCCTTCTTCCTGAGTGGACCTTAAGTCCAGTGAAGGAGCTGAGTTTCAGCCAATGGTTGTGTGCTACTATTGAACTGGTAGGGATATTGTTTGGCTACTTTTAGAAATCAGTTTCCTTCCATGATTTCAGCTGTCATTGGTCAGATTCTTTGGTTAGCCCTCTATGTCCCACTAGTCACAAAGTAGCGTCTTCCTCTCATAATACTGTTCAATCTGCCATAGACATATCTAGCACGCCATACTTTTAGGTGAGTTGGAAGCTTCAGGCATGCAAATGAGTACAGTACAGTTTTTAAATATTCATGGCTCTATGACTTAGGATCTTTCTAGTTCTTTTAAAATAGAGGGGATTTCAGCAATATCTGTCTGTGGTATTATAGAATTCAGAGTCAACAGTATAGACTTAAAATGTTACTAATTCTCCCTAAGCTGAAGGGACACAGAGTCAAGTAATTTCCCCGAGCTTCCGAGTAGTACCCATAAAATACAAGGATAGGAATTCTGGAGAATTGTGGCTTTAGGTGGTGAGAATGATTGTTGTCCATCTTTACAGTCTGTCACTGGAGTCCAAGGAGTGGTTCTATTGACTCATGCGTTTTGACTACAGCTTCCACTTCCTCAGTTTTCATACACATGTCCAGTTACCTACTTGATGTCTTTTCTTGGGTGTCTCAAGTATGCCCCACAAAACAGAAATATTCTTTTGAAATTGTGACTGGTTAATAGTGGTACATACTTGTAATCCTAGCACTAGGGACATCAAGACAGAAGAACGGTGAGGTCAAGGTTAACCTAGGCTACCTAGCAGGACCCTGTCTTTAAAAAAAAGTATGAGAGAAATCACATTGTATTCCTTCTAAAACGTCTATTTACAGTTCATCCAAATGCTTAACCATGGCCACAATCCCCTATTTGATCTGCCCCATGCTTGCCCTCCAACGTCATGGTCTACCATTTGCTCTCATCACATTCCAGAAACATCTCTTCAATTCCTTGCTAATCACCACCCACTTTCAGGCTTTGACTTGCCTGCTTTCTGCTGTACCTATTCTTCAGCCTGCCTCCTCCACTTTCAAGTGTCAAAAGATCTTGGTATATTAAAGGATCCCTACTCTTCTTCCACCTGCACAGTGCCCACCTCTTCTTGGCTTACTCTTTCCCTCATAACACTTCCTAGTTTAATTTTGTGCTATTTAATGTTCAATGGGTTTGTTTAATCTTCAATGTCTTACTAACCATCTCCCCTATCAGATTATACACTTCATGAGGAAAGGAACCACATGCTTTATTTATAGCGTTTATTTCAATATCTGAAGTGAATTGAGTGAATGAGATTAGAGCTGCTAGATTTTTATACCCCCAACTATGATTGGAGGCAGATTTTCAAGAAGTAGCTCCAGATATGTATATAAAAGTATAAAGGAGGGATAAGCTGGAATGCATTGGGAAGATCATGTGATTAGTACTGTTGTCCTAGTATTTGAGAATCTTGAAGAATGTGGAACACTCTTATAGGATTATCTATAAGAACATGAGACTATAATAAAGTTACCACCTGTGTAAGAATGTGTGGCACTGTAAATAGGTAAGGCTGTCACCTGCATAGGAGCATTCAACACAGGATTAGATGAGTTGCTGTCTGTAGTAGATGTGACAGTGACGAGAAAGTTACCACCTGTGTATCAGGTGCCACACAGTAACAGGGTGCTGCCACCAGTATATGATGCCAAGTGAAGTCCAAAGGAGGGAACAGAGGGTCTAGTATCTCATCCCCTACATAACTATCCGTATTTGATGCTAGAAACCTGCCCCTTCAGCTATGGTCAAAAGTAGTGGAAAGTGGATCTTTTATGGCCATCTCTAACTTCACACTCACACACAGCACTTAAAAAGAGGAGTACCCGCCAGGCAGTGGTGGCACACGCCTTTAATCCCAGCACTCGGAAGGCAAACAGAGCTCTGTGAGTTTGAGGCCAGTCTACAAGAGCTAGTTACAGGACAGGCTCCAGAGAAACCCTGCCTTGAGAAAACAAACGAACAAAAATACCCGAGAGCGTCATTCACTGAAGCCACGTTGTTGCAGTGGCTGCCTCCTTCCTTCTGTGCATGCGTATGCGCATGCGTACGTGCCTGTTAGTGTTTGCACTGAGGATCAAAGCGCTCTACCCCTCAACTCCATCTCCAGCTATTGGCTCCTATTAAGACAAGTCTCAATAATGTATGTAGCCCAGGCTGCCCTCAGACTTGTGTTCTTCCACCTCTGTATCCACGCCTACCTCTGAAGCCAAATCTCCTTGAGTTCCTACAGTATGTGGTCTTTTTCTTTACTCCCTTTTTCCTTCTATGTTAAGTGACTAAGGCTTTAATAGCGTCAAATTGACGTTGCCTCTAAACTTTAAAGAATCTAAAGGGAGATTTATCAATATCACCAATACTTACCAAACAGGAAGAAAGAGACTTGAAGAGAAACCACTGACCAGAGATGGGTTGAACTAAATCAAAGCATACATCCCCACCATTTGATAAGGCCAGGGTGTGATATTCTCGTGATTTGACTGGCTGAAAGTACTGACTGGGCTTGAACCATTTTGACACCTCCAGAAAAAGGAAGTTCTAACAGCAAGAAGCCTAGGAATACTTCTTGGGTGGGTGGGAACAGTACTAAGAGACCAGCGGAATGGGGCTAAACCTGATCCGTGTCCATGCTGAACATGAGACCGTGCTAGGAAAGGTTGACCCAGTTTCTAAAAACCAACATGCCTCATTAAAGAACAAGTATTTGGGTGCAATATGGATTTTAAGTTCCTTGGAGATAGACAAAGGGAGGGAAAGAAACGAACAGGCTAAAATACAACCCCGTTTGAGACCAGTCTTGGCTACATAGCTAGATCCTATCTTAAAGCAGCCTCCTCCATCTTCAGGGTTCCTTGAATTCAGTTCTGACTTGGAACTGAAGCTGGAGTTTCAGCTTGGGTGATCTGATAACCCAGTGAGGGGAGAGGTTACCACGCTCAAGCTTTAAGGGGCTTGCTTCACAGTGCTCCTGGAATTTTAATGCACGTGCCAATCACCTAGGCATCTCATGAAAGTCCAAATTCAACCCAGTTAGTCTGAATAGGGCCAGAGATCATGTACTTCTAACAAGTTTCTTGGCAATGTCCATAACAACAGGAAGAAAGTTTAATAAGACACTCTAAGTAGAGGGGGAGATTTCAATAGCACACAGTTGTCAGGGATAGTTAAAAATAAAGTCACAATTATTGAGTATTGGGCAATTAAAAACTGTGAAGTTTCTGCCCTATTAAATCATTCAATATAGTGAAGAATATTACATATCAGTTTTCCCACAGACTGACAAATACCTATATGCTACTGAAAAGACAAATGTGTTTATGATGTGGTAAAGGCTTATAATATAAGCATGAGTCTGCTAGAAGAATGTGTGTGTACATGCTATGGAAGGGAGAGGCTGGAATCACACACAATCGTCCTGTTCTAATACATTACAAATGTTAGTCTTCAGAACTGTGTCTGGGTAAAAACCCTTATTACTGGATGGATCAGAGTTAAGAAGGAAAATAAAATTTTTATCTTTTTATTATTTTATTTTATTAAAAAGAAGACAAACTATCTTTTTTCATTTTACATACCAATCTCAGTTTTCACTCCTTCCCCTCCTCCCATTCTCTCCACCTTCCTCCCCCACCCCCATCCACTCCTCGGAGAGAGTAAGGCATATTGTTTTGGGGAAGGTCCAAGGCCCTCCCTGCTATATCTAGACTGAGCAAGGTATCCATCCAAAGAGAAAAGGTTCACAAAAAGCCAGTACAAACAGTAGGGATAAATCCTGGTGCCACTATCAGTGGCTCCACAGTCTGCCCCAGCCATACAACTATCACCCACATTCAGAGGGCCTAGTTTGGTCCTATGCTGGTTCCTTCCCTGTCCGACTGGAGTTGGTGAGCTCCCATTAGCTCAGGTAGACTGTTCCAGTGGGTGTCCCCATCATGGTCTTGACATTTTTGCTCATATTCTCACTCCTCTCATACTTCAACTGGACTTTGGGAGCTCAGCTTCTACCTCTGCTTCCATCAGTTGCTAGATGAAGATTCTATAGTGACATTTAAGATAGTCATCAATCTGACTACAGGGCAAGGCCAGTTCGGGCACCCTCTCCACTACTGCTTAGGGTCTTAGCTAGGGACATTCTTGTGGATTCCTGGGAATTTTTCTAGAGTCAGGTTTCTTGCTAGTCCCATAATGGCTCCCTCAATCAAGATATCTCTTTCCTTGCTTTCCATCTCTGTCCTTCACCCATCTCAACTATCTCGTTCCTTCAAGTTCTCCTCCCCCCTCCCCTTCTCCCTTCTTCCTCCCCTTCTGCTCTCCCATCTCCCACCTACATGTTCCCAATTTTGTCAGGAGATCTTGTCTAATTACCCTTCCCAGAGAGATCTATATATTTTTCTCTTAGGGTTCTTCTTGTTACTTAGCTTCTCTAGGGTCGTGGCTTGTTATCCTTTGCTTGACAGCTAGTATCCACTTATGAGTGAGTACATACCATGTTCATCTTTCTGGGTCTGGGTTACCTCACTTAGGATGTTTTATTCTAGTTTCATCCATTTGCATGCAAATTTCTGAACCTGATAGAAGAGAAAGTGGGAAGTAGCCAACAATGCATGAGCACAGGAGACCACTTCCTAAATATAACACCAATAGCACAGACACTCAGAGCAAAAATAAATAAATGAGACCTCCTGAAAATAAGAAGCTTCTGTAAAGCAAAGAACACAGTCATTAAGACAAAAAGGCAGTCTACTGAATGAGAAAAGATCTTCACCAACCTCACATCAGACAAAGGACTAATCTCCAAAAATATATAAAGAACTCAAGAAATTAGACATCAAAATTTCAAATAATCCAATTTAAAAATGGAGTACAAATCTAAACAGAGAATTCTCAACAGAAGAATCTCAAATGGTTGAAAGACACTTAAGGAAATGTTCAACATCCTTAGCCATCAGGGATGCAAATCAAAATGACTCATACCAGTCAAAATGGCTAAGATCAAAAACAACAATAATAGCTTATGCTGAAGAAGATGTGTAGTAAGGGAACACTCCTTCATTGCTGGTGGGAATGCAAACTTGTATAATCACTATGAAAATCAGTATGGTGGTTTCTCAGAAAATTGGAAATCAACCTACCTCAGGATCCAGCAATACCACTCTTGAGCATATAACCAAAAGATGCTCAATCATACTACAAGGAGACTTGTTCAACTATGTTCATAGCAACATTATGTGTAACATCCAAAACCTGGAAACAACCTAGATTCCCCTCAACTGAAGAATGGACAAATAAAATGTGGTACATTTACTCAATGGAGTACTATTCAGTAGTAAAAAAACAAAAACTCAACGTGAACCTTAGGTTTTGCATGCAAAAAGTTTACCTTTTATTTTAGCTAATTTTAACTGTTAATTTCTACACTAAAAAAGAATGAACAGCTACTATTTAAAAGAAAGAAAGAAAGAGGGATAGAGGAACAGTTTAGTGGTTAAGATCACTGGCTGCTCTTTCAAAGGACTTGGGTTCAGTTTTCACCACCAACATGGCAACTCACTGTAAGTCCAATTCCAGGGGATTTGATACCCTTTCTGGCCTCTCTGAGCACCAGGCATGGGTGATGTGCAGAGTAAAGTGCAGGCAAAATACCAACAGAGATAAAAAACAAATAAAATTTAAAAGGAAAAGACAACATTGTGGAGATGCTTTCCACGTGGTTCCCTGGAAGGGGAACTGATGCTCATGCACTGTGACTCTGTGATGGTATGATAGTACCCAAGATTGAGGTATCCTGAACAAGAAATAATCCATCCATTTCTTAAGGAGTTCAGAAATTAAATGACTATAACTAGGTAGCCATTTCTTTGATAAGATTTTCCTAGAAAATAGACTCTAAAATGTACCAGCTTAAGAGTCTGTAGAGGTGGCTCTCAGGTAAACTTCAAACGTGAACCTTAGTCCAGGTACTCAGTACCCACATTAAAGCAATGCAGTATTGGGAAGCAGAATGCATGAACCCAAGGATGAGGACAAGGGAGTGCGCTCCCTGCTCAGCCAGTCCTGCTTTGCTGTGAGGGCCCCTATCACAGAAATTAGGGAGGAGAACCGTTAAGGAAGATACCCAAAATCTACCTCTGACCTTCCCATGCACATTCGTAGGCATGTACACCTATACATACATGGATACATAAATACAAAATGCATTAATTTTATTTATAAAGTTAAATTTATTTTCTTCCATGGGTCTTTTTGGAAGTGATTATGCAATACAAAAGACTTACGGTATTTGCTGGTTTTGTTCAACAGGCGTCAGAAAAAAGTAAGTCACAGAAAAATACTAAGGAGTAAAAGGTCCTGTTTTCAAGAGACAATATTCTTAAACACCTGAAAACTTTTCAATTGACATGTAGGCTCTAATTCTTACATAAAAATGAAAATAAGGTCTATACATTTTTATCTGATTATAAAGTCAATAGAAAATAAAACATTCAATATATATACGTTGAAGTTATTTATTAACTAGTTCTACTTGGCATCATTATCACTGTTGGAGCTGTCACTGTCATAAATGGAAATGTTTCGAATTGAAGACACCATCATATCTGCAATGCCTTTTTTGGGGTTTTCTTCCAAGTCAGTCTGTATTGCGCCAACTTCTGACAGTTTCCATTCAAGTTCTACAATAGATAAAAACCCATCATCAAACTGGATAAAAATCTTGGGGAAATGGAGATAAATCTCTCATCTACATGAAACAGAAGTTGACTTTGCTAAAAATTACCATGGAAATTGAGGCTGGTGAGAGGGCTCACCAGACAAAGGTGCTCACAACCAAGTCTGCCAGACAACACAAGATTGATCCCTGAGACCCACACGAGGGAAGGATTGACTTCTAATGTTATCCTGTGACCACGTGCACACTATTGCATGCTGTTACACACACACACACACACACACCATGCACACTGTGGCATGCCAGTACACACACATACACACTAATCACACTATGCCATGCCAGTATACATGCTCAACTTGCACACTATGGCATGCCAGTACACACACAGACACACACACACACATACACTATGTAATTATTGCGTTCCAGTACACACACACACACACACACATAGATACACACACCAATCACACTATGCCATGACAGTATACACACACATACACACAACATACACACTCTGGCATGCCATTATGCATACACACATAGACACCCACACACAAACAATAGACCAAATGTAAAAATTAATAGTGTGGAAGTGAAGATCATCTTAACCTCAATGATAAAGTGTTACACTATCAGAATTACATTGGGTAAAGTTATCCTTAACAGAGGAAATGGGTAAAATGTTCATCTTAAAATGACTAAAAATAAGAAGATCAAAAGTGTATACCAAGAAGCTAATAAGTCAGATGTGGTGCTTTGTGCTGTAATCCTAGCATCTGGGAAGCTGAAACAGAACTGTCACAAATTCCACCCAAATAAGAGATATAATAAAAGATCTTGGTAAAAATAGGAAGACAAAAGCAATGGAGATTACCAGGAAAATCAAAATTGGATCTTTGGAGCATGTGGTGGCCCACAAAGGGAATGGCACAATTAGGAGGGACAGCCTTGTTGGAGGAAGTGCGTCACTGTGGAGGCGGGCTTTGAGGTCTTCTTTGCTCAAGCTTCCCTTTTCCCCTTTCCCATTTCCTGTTGCCTACAGTTCAAAATGTGGGAGTCTCCACTTTAGCACCATATCTGCCTGCATGCCACCATTTTGATAATGGACTGAACCCCTGCAAATGTAAAGCCAGCTCATTAGATGTTTTTCTTTATAGAGCTGCAGTGACCGTGGTGTCTCTTCACAGCAACAGAAACCTTAACTAAGGACAGTCAGTAGCTGAGGGCTGGGCAGAAATGCTTACAAGATAAGCAAGAAGTCAAGTAACAAGGAACGTATTTGGGTCATAACCAAACTGACAAGATCCCATTATTCCTTGGGGATCGGACGGACATGCACAAAGTAAAATCCCTAACTAAACAAATCTCTGGTACAGGGTGAATAACTGAGTAGTTCATAAAGATTAAAACTCGGTATTTAAAAAATAGCGGACTATTGGGAAGAGACATACATCAAAATACCTGAAAATAATTTAGACTGTTAATGGGAGAACTTTCTAAAAAAAAATATATGTTACTAAAACATAACACTAAACTTCAGTGTTCTATTAATACAGTGATAAAAAACACAGCGGAGACCTCAGAAATAAATTGGTGCATGTAAAAATTACAGCAGAGACCAGTGCTGAAAGGGTCAAAGAGAACATGGGAGCCTTGAACACCGTCGGGAAGAGTGTGATGTGGTATAACAGCTATAAAAAACTGTATGGCGATTCCTAAAATAACTTATGAATTACTGTATGCTCTGGCAACTGCAGTTCTGGGTGTTGGCAGACGGATGGAGACAGGAACTGCAGCAGGTGTCTGCACACTCACTTTCTTGGTAGCAGCATTTATTACAGATCAAAGACAGAAGAACCCTGACTGTCCATCTAGCCTCAAAAAGGAAGGAAGTTGCAAGGCGGGACGCACGTATCTATGCTTCTGCGGCCAGGGATGCTGAAGCAGGAGGACTACAAGTTCAAGGCCAGCTGGGCAAGATCCCATCTCAAAAAGAAATGTGTAGAATAAGATAAGGAAAATGACTAAGATTGTAAAAGTTCATATTTTACATACTTGGTAGTTTAAAAATAAGTTTAAAAACAGTGGGAAATGAAGTTTCAGTAAATGGCAGTAGGGCAACAGATAAAACTTAGATCCCTTCTTTATTCATTACAATGTTATTTAAGACCTAAGCAAAAATAAAATAAAAATAATCTATTTTTAAAGGGAAGCATTGTAAATATAATTTTAAAAGATTAGTAAATTTTAAAAAAGATTAGTAAGTTTAACTCTGCTAATATAATTTTTGCCTGACAATTAAAATGAAACTAGACCCAGGTATGCATACCTAGAGCCTCAGCTACTTGAGATGCGAAAGGAAGATTATTTGAGCCTAAGAGTTTGAAGCCAGACTCTGTATCAAGAAAAAAAGAAAGCAGCAGTGTTGGCCTGGAAGTGCAGCCCAGTGGTGGAGAGCTGGCTCCATCACAGATAATACATGTACTCAGAGAAAGGAAATTTGAAGTGGTGAGCTGCCAAGAACCTGTGTGCAATGCCATTGAAGCAGTGGACAGAACTTCACAGACTTCTGCAATCCACTGAAAGAACACACTGAAAAATGAGCAAAGCAAAGGGAAGACACCGAATGACCAACATCTACGAAAGAATGCCAATCCCACTGGCCCTCCAGATTTAAAGAGTGACAGGGTATTCTGTAGTGACACCATAGACGAGGGTAGAGCGCTCGTCTAGTGTGCATAAGGCCCTGCCCTGGGCTCAACTCCCAATATTGCCAAACCCAGAAAGACAACATTAAAATCACAGCAGCAAAACAATTCTAAGAGCTAATAGAGATGTGGGTAATGAGAGCTCTCTCACAGGGCTGATAAGAGGAGAAATCAACAGCATCATTGGTAGAGCCTTAGTTTATTTTCCTGTTGCTGTGATAAAAAACACTCTGGCAAATGAAACTTAAGGGAGAAAGGGTCTATTCGCTCACAGTTCCAAGTTATAGTCCATTATGTCTGCAGTCAGGGGAGAGCAGTGAATACATGCGTACAAGCTCAGTGGACTTTCTCCACTCCTACTGCAGCACCCTCTGCCTAGGGAGTGGTACTACCCACAGTACATGGGGCTCCCCACCTTACTCAACATGATAAAGGTAATTCCCCCTTAGACAGCCCAAAGTCCACCTCTCGGGTGATTCTAACTTTTATCAAGTTGACAACATCACAGGTACCTTCCTAGTGGAGTTAAAAAGTGGAAAAGACAAAGAGATTTTTCACAAATGGCACAAGGATGACAGAAAAATTGTCATTAGAAAATGGCAATCAGCTCACTTTCTCTCAGAAAGAAAGTGACAAGCACATAAATTAAGGGGTATTTAATGAAAGATTGATAATATTTAAAGTTATTAAATCAGATATAAAAGGAAGAAATTTGGAAAATTATTGTTAAGCTTAAAAAACAAGGTTGAGGATGCTATACTGCAATTTACTGAATAGTTTCAATTTTAAATACAATCATTCCTTACATTTCTCTGTGTGTGCACGCACTAAAATCCATATATGTATGCTCACATACACATTATGGCTAAAGTACAAGTAAATGACCCAGTCCCTCAAAACATAAATATAGAATAGCCATATGACCTAGCAATATAATTCTGGATTTATTATTTGTAGAGATGATTTGTACATCCATGTTTCCACAGCATCATTCATAACAATCAAAAGGCAAAAGCAATGTAAGTGTTGACTGAAGAAGGAAGTATGCCTGCAGTGTGGCCTGTTAGACACTGTTCAGACTTCAGAAAGGAAACCAAAGGATGAGTTTTGATAATGTAATGCTGAGTGATATCAGGCACAATGAGAAAAGAAAAATGTATTATCCTACTTCATGATGTGTCTAAAATCATCAATTTCATAAAGACAGAAAACATCTTGGTGGCTTCCAGAGGTGGCAGAGAGGGTAATGGAAGGTTGCTGTCTAATGGGTCCAGAGTTTCACCATACGAGATGGTAAGAGCTGTGGATAAGGATGCAGGCTACAGCAACACCGCAATGTGAATATCAGTGTCACTGGACCGCATAATCTAACGCGATGATGCTAAAGAATCTCAGCTTCACAAAACAGAGGCTTAATCAGTCCAGGAACACACGGTAGGATAAATGGAAACGAGGAGAACCTTAGGAACAGGGTTTGGACTGGAAGGTAAAGGTAGAGACTACAGGAGACAGTGTGAGCACAAAGCTCTGTCCGGGGTCTCCGGTGACTAAGCCCAGTCCGACTAAGGCAGGCACCACCCAGGGCTGAGAAACAGAGGTGAGGAAGCAGACTGGATTCTGAACGAGATGGTTTGCATTTTAAAAGTTATTTTACACAGACGCATTAAGAATTTTAGGCAAAAAGTATTATGATATTCTAAGCATGCTGACAGGAAACCTGATCTGGCGGTATTTTAAAAGGGAACTGAATGGGGGCTGGAGAGAGACAGATCCCAGTCCCACGTGGCAGATCATGAGTTCCTGTAACTCCGGTTCCAGGGGATGCAGCACCTGTTCCTGGCTTCCAGGTGCACCAGACACGCACATTGGCACAGGGACACACACACACACACACACACACACACACACACACATACACACAGATAAACACACACATGCTAAAATAATTTTCAAAAACTTAAAAAGAGAAGAAAATTAAGGAAGAAATTTTGTTTCAAAAAAATAAACTTTCATACTTGTTCCTCTGGAGAGCTTTTTAGTTGTTACTTTATAAACATTAAAAAATAACATCATTACCTTCTAGCTTGAGATTTATCCCTCCACATTCTATAATTCCAATGAATTTTCCTTCTATCTGGCCATTTTTATAAACGAAAATTGTTGGTAAACAGTTGTCATGGTAGTGTTCAATGCAGCTATTCACGATGGCTTTAAGGAATTTAGTTTCTGGGAACTTTCTTGCTAGGAGGCTAAGATGCTGGTTAACCAACAAGCACATGGGGACGCTAAAAAAGAGAGTGTATAAAAGAAGGTATTCAGAGTATTTCAAATGTGGATTGTTCCCCTTAGTCTAGTAAAGTAAAGGAATATCTATGGCAAAATTTACGCATATTTGTACCCTAGGAATGATGCTGGTACCCTGGGAATTTACATCCTAATTTAAGTGAACTACATTCTACTTAGCATTTCTTTAATCACTTAGCATCCTAGGTGGAAGAAATAGGAACAGAAACAAAAAACAGGTGTGTCTAGGTAATGTGGGGCAGTCCTGAGCTGAAGTAAAGAGACCCAACTCTTTCAGTCCAATTACACAGGTGCTCACATGCAGAGTGTGTTATCTCAGACTTCTTTGGCTTTCTTGTCCCTAAGAAACTTCACCCACAGTCTTCCACATCCCGGATCCCAGTATCCAGAATTATTTCTCATCTAAGATTTGAAGCTGATTGAAATCAGAATCCCAAACTTCCCATTCTTCCTGCTCCATTCGTCGCCGAAGTCCCGCCCCCGCCCCCCGCCCCCCCCCCCCCCCACTCTCCCATCCTTCCCTTCCTCCTAGTCTCCCACTCTGAGCTCAGCATGTGAGCTCAGGGCTGACTTCCGGCCACCCTACACCCACACACCTCCACTTTTCCCCACACCTCTTGGTTTTATTCCGTTTCTCTCTCCTGTGTTATCACTTTCCCTTTTCCAAAGAATTTCTCCGCTTTACATAAACATATTAAAGCTCAAAATCTTGTTTTTTTTTAAAAGAATATCTCATAACTTCACATCTCTTTCTAATAACCATTTTCTTTCCTTGTAGTCATAACCAAGATGAAAAGGTGCGTGTGTGTGTGTGTGTGTGTGTGTGTGTGTGTGTGTGTGTGAGAGAGAGAGAGAGAGAGAGAGAGAGAGAGAGAGAGAAACTGACAACAAAAGCTGCCCTCTTGCATTTCTGTTGCCTCTGTTCTTGGGATGCTCTCTTTTGGTTTCTGTGATGCCATGTTCTGTTAACTTCCTTTTGACCTCTCTGACTTCCCTCTTTTGTCTCCATGTTAAATTTAAAGCAGCTAGTAGATTTCATTTCTCTTCTTTATCCAACTCCATGTCCAAAAGGAGGAAAACAAACTGATATTTTTTTGATATTTCTTAAATTGACCTACATCAAAAATCTCTCTACAATGTCTAGTTAGTATCAAGTCATATCAACTCTACCTCCTTTTTAAATTGCAATCTCCACTCTTTGGCCATCACTTCACTGGCTCCTTATCTGAGCTACATTAAGTTACCATAAATCTGTTCCCAGATTTGTTACTCATATCTATCCTTGGCCCTACTTACAAAGGGAACACAACATGGAAGTGTCATCATAGTTACCTCATGGAAGGATCATCATAGTTACCTCATGGAAGGATCATCATAGTTACCTCATGGAAGGATCATCATAGTTACCTCATGGAACTGTCATTATAGAACCCTCAGGAAGGTTGTGATATACCCCTCATGGAAGGGTCATCATAAAACCCTCATGGAAATAAGTCAGATTGTCCACATTGCCCAAGCTCAGGAAACTCCAGTGGTTCCTCCTCACTGGCATAGAATCCGAACTCCTTCATGTCCTTCCAGAAGGTCTTCATAATGCAGACACCGCTTTCCTGTCCAGCGTAGTAGTCTGCCTGACACTACATCACACTGTATGACTGAGGCAGATCTAATACTCCAAACTCCGGAAGTATTGTGATACTTTGGACTTCTGAACCTTTGTTTATATTGCACAGTTCATCTACAATACCTCACTCAAGTCTGTCTACTTTCCCAACCTAAGAAACTTTTTCTTTTCTTTTCTAAGCCAACGCCAGGATGAGAACTGTCTGTGTAGTGATTTCCTCAGGGCTGAAACATTTCCCCCTGGAGGGAGGGAAGCTGGAGAACCACAAGACTCAGGAAGCTAAGGAAATTTGGGGGGCCAGGAAACCATCAAGATTTAGAAAGATTTACAAGATTTAGAAAACCCACAGTTTTCTAAGCCTACAAGATCCTGGGAACGGAGCTCCGCTGGTGCTTGTCTAACATGCATGAAGTCCTGGGCTGGGTCCCCAACACATCATAAAACTCATGGGATGGTGCACAGTTATTTCAGAATGTTGGGTGTGGGAGAAGGATCGGTAGTTCAAGGCCATCCTTGGCTGAGTTTGAGGTCAGCTTAGTGGGGTGTTGGGGGGATAAATAGGAGGTTTAGTTACCAGTCACCTCTTTTCTAACAAATGTTGCATTCTTCAGATTGGAAATGAAAATATTTTAGTATACTTAATTTAATCCCTAAAGATAAAAATTCTATAATGTATTCATGCGTAATATGTGTTCCTTTCTTTTAAATACTCCTCATTGTAGGCATCACAGACCCTAAAGCTAGGAGCGTTTTTAAAGCATCATGGCACCAACAGTCTGAAATACTGTGGTAATAATTACCTTGATCTGTACAGATGAATTACAACCCACAAATCTTTTTCTGCATTTGTAACTTCATTCACATACTGATTTCCAGAAATTTCTCTCAATTCCCCAAATTTTTGTTTCTTCTTAAGTGCTTTCCATTCCTGTAACCGTTTTTCTCTAATTGAAAAAAAATGTTAGATAAGTATTATATTCTTTTATTTATTATGTATTTATTTATTATTTATCTCTCTGTGTCTCTCAGTCTGTTTCTCTTTCTGTCTCATCTCTCTGTCTCTGTCTCTTACTCTCTGTATGTGCGTGTCTATGAGTTTATTTGTTCCAGGTGCTTGCATGTGCCTAAGGAGACCAAAAGGCTTTGGATTCCCTGGCAGTGGAGTTCCAGGCAGTTGTGAGCCATTTGATGGGGGGGTCTGGGAACTGAACACTTTAGCATATGCATATATGCACGCGTGTGCCTGTGTGCATATGAACAAGGGTATATGTGCATACCTGTGTATGCTATTGCACATGTGTGGAGATCAGAGAACATCTTGTAGGAGTTGATTCTCCCCTTCCAGCAGGTGGGTTCCAGGGGACAAATTCAGGTCATGGGGCTTGGCAGAAGGCACCTCTACCCACTGAGTCATCTCAGTGGTCCTCATTTCCTGCATTCTTGATGTTCTGGCATCTAGAACATTGCTAATCCTCTAAGGAATACTCATTTCAGAACTGGTTGGTTCTGAGAAAGAACAAACACTCGCCAAACAGCACATTCTTCAGATGCAAGGCAGCCAACTCTGAAAGCACATCCTTGGTCATTTTTATTTGCTCTTAGTTTCTGAGGCAGGATTAGCTCTGTCCCTGAGATTGGTCTCACACTCCTGGGCTCAGACTGTCCTCCCAGCTCAGCTCCCAAGTGTCTGGGGCTTTGGGCATGCACCACCACGCCTGGTTTCAATCATCTTTTTTCCTGTGGTTGTTATTTTTTTCTTACAAGGCTCCCTGCCCTAGTCATCCCAGAACCTGGTACCAGATAACTAACAACAGATCTAACCCAGAGCCCACCAAAATGATTCAAACTAGCCAATCATAAGCCTCTTTACCCCACCTTGCATGTTCTTTCGTACAGAAACCACAGCAAGACTGTGTCAAAGATTTTTCCCTTGCTGCTTTTGATCCTGACCTATTCAGGTGCTTCCCTCTGTGGGACCATGTGTCAGGTTATGCCCCTGCCCCTGCCCCTGCCCCTGCCCCTGCCCCTGCCCCTGCCC